AATTTGACCCAACTCCAGGAGGCAGTGGAAGACGGGAGGGCCTGGCGTGCTCTGGTCCATGGGGTCACGAAGAGTTGGACACGACTTAACGACAAAACAACAACAACAGGCAGTGGATACGTGAATCAGTGCATACTGATCCCACAGATAGGGAGTTATACTTTATAGTCCTCTCCTTCTCTCTTTCTCATATTCATGACGTGTTTGCTTGGAAACAGCAGCTCAAATGGAATTTGAGCTCTAAGCATGGGACTCTTTCCCTCACTGCACACACCTTCAATTTAGTCCTCTCTTCCCCAAACCCCACACAAGTTGTTGGGGCCTTCTCCTCCGCCGTGGCCCCTGGGGGCCATTTCCACCTCTCCCCCCGGCCCCCCATTCCTTCACTCAGTCCATGGCCAGGTAAACCTCAGACTGTGCTTGCCTTAATTGTTCTGTTTCTCCAAGACAAACAAGCCACAACAGCTGGAAACAAGAATGCGGTGCGATGCCAGCCGGCTATTGTTTTGACCGGGCCAGGGGCTCGTCTTGAAGACTTGAGGGATTTCATCCAGGCAGCTCTGAGCAGTTTGCAAAACAGTGGCTGGCAAGCACTGATGAGCCATCAGGGTTGGTCAACCGCAGAAGGGATCTGGAACTTGGAAAACAACAGCGGGATGTTGGAGTAAACAAGCCGCTCTCCAGCATGAGGGAGCTGTCAGCCTCTCGCTCACATTAGACTTTCTTCCCCCTCTGGGTTTCAACAGAGATTTCTTTATTTTTTTACCACCGTGTCCAAACCTCTCCCCAGATCTTTTACATCCAAGCTGTCATGTCGTGCTTCGAGCATGGAGGAATCCTCTCATGTTTCTTCATGTCTAGAAGCATCGTACGGGTGCAGGTGGCATCCACTCCCAGCAATTCATGTGGGGAACCTGGCAGGTATACCTGGGCATTCTGCGCCCCCTGCACATTGTGATTTCTTGTTATTATAATATTTTTTTGCAGCACTAGATGTGGAACAATCAACAGATAGGTTTGTGAAGTGTGTAAAATTTCATGGCATCTGCTGATGTTTGATACCATCTATCTATCTATCTATCTATCTATCTATCATCGTCTGTCTGTCTGTCTGTCTGTCTGTCTGTCTCTCTCTCTCTCTCTCTCTCTCTCTCTCTCTCTCTCTCTCTCTCTCTCTCTCTCTCTCTCTCTCTCTCTCTCTCTCTCTCTCTCTCTCTCTCTCTCTCTCTCTCTCTCTCTCTCTCTCTCTCTCTCTCTCTCTCTCTCTCTCTCTCTCTCTCTCTCTCTCTCTCTCTCTCTCTCTCTCTCTCTCTCTCTCTCTCTCTCTCTCTCTCTCTCTCTCTCTCTCTCTATCTATCTATCTATCTATCTATCTATATCTCTGGCCAGTTAAGTTACAGTTTTAAATACCGGCTGAACTTAAGTGATCAGAATCCCACCAAATACGGTCTGTCTGTGTGCATGAGAGTAATCGCAGAGTTGCTGCGGCTCATTGTCGAGGTGTTGGTCACATGCTGGCCTTCTGCGTGACTGCATGGCTGACGGCACAACCAGCAGACCCCCCCCCCCCCCGGGCCCACCTTGCNACCTACTCAATCCGCTGCAGGAACTTGCCTGATTCTACTGGCCTGTGTCTAAATATCTTATAGGATTTTGGCCCCTGTGTTTTTAGCCATATGTATTTTTAAACCTAAACACCAAAAAGCAAGCTTGTTCCTTGTTAAGAGGTTGGCTCACAGGAATGAGACAAGGGTGGGAAATGTGGTTCCAAAAGAACCCTTTTATGAAGGAGAAGGAAGTTGGATTTCTCTAGAAACCACAGGGAAAGAAGAACTACTCAGCCTTCGGTGCAAAGATGCAAAGAACACATTGCATTTCCAAAAGATCTGCTCACTACTTGCAAGATGCAAGATGCAGCATCCCAGGTACTAAAGTGGGCTCGCTTGATGATGTGGGTGAATTAGCCTCTTCCCCATCCATGTCACCATGTCCAGACCCTGTCAAGGAGGCCCATTGGGGGGGAATCAAACTCCCAGCCTCGGGCTATGCAGCCAGAGACTTAAACCCCTGAGTAATCCAGCAGCTCCATATTTGAATGTCTCTTTAATTAGAAGTTTCTAAAAGCATTTGCTTCCCCTAAACATGTTTTAAGCCTGTTTGGAGGGACTCTTGATTGTTTTGTAGACAACATAAGAAGCTGTTTTCTGTCAGGAGGTTAAAACTGTTTGTGCATGCTCAGAGATACACGGTTGTTACATCCTTAAAAAACACCCCGGATCTTTGTACCACGCAAGGAAATGACATTCTTCAAATTATATATCATATCACTTAAAAATATAGGCCACTCTTTTCATTTGTAACCATTGAATCAAAGCAACAAGGAGGAGGGAAAGGGCTAACAATAAATAAACAAATAATAG